TATTCATAAGGTTTTCCCTGGCCAATTCTTTCAGAAGTGGACGGCCTCCTCCTTCTTCCTAGTCTGTCTCAGTCTGTAAGCTGGGCTGATACCTGTGCACCATGTGCATCCCTCTGGGTTTGAAACACCAGTGGCTCAGCCTCAAAACTCACATCAACACGTCACCACAGTAGGACAAACCTACAGACAAGTTTGTCTCCCTGTTGGAAACCTCTCCTACCACCCTTACCCGGGTCCCTGTGGCTGACTCCTCCTCTGTCCGGATTCGTAGGCCTTTTAAACCCTTTTTTCTGGCTCTCCCGCCCTGCTGCTTTGGGCGTGCCTGATTTCCCTCTCCTCACCTGGATCCCTACGGCTGACTGCTCCTCTGTCCAGGTTCCTGGCTTTTAATTCTCTTTTTCCTGCTCTCCCGCACTGCTGCTTTGGGTGTGCCTGAGTTCCTCTCTTCACCTGGATCCCTGCAGCTGACTGTTATCTTGGCAATGGGGAATCTCAAAAAGCTTATGAGCACAGCAGTGATATGGGCAGGTCTGGTTTTTCAGTGTTCATGGTACTGCCAGTGGACAGGCTGGAGGGCAGTGTATTCAGGGAGCAAGGGCTAGAATCACTGGTAAGGGAGTAATTCTATAGCCCTACCAGGGTAATTACAGAGAGAGCTCACAGGATGGGGGTTCACACTTGGAGGGAGAGAGAAATGTAGGCCTCTCACTCTGAAAATCAGTAGACCAGAGCGCAGCACTGGAAGCCCAAGCCCCAGTCAGCCTTTTCACCCCAGTGGACACTCATAAGGCGCCAGGGAAGATGCAGACCGGTCTCTGGAGATGTGTCAGATCATAGGCCTCTGATGAATTAGAAGTCCTCCCCCTCCTGGAGTCCTGTGGATCTTGCAACAGGCCAACGCCTCCCACATCAAACCCCACACAGGCTGACTAAACATCATTTCTTTGCATTGATCCAGAATGGTATAGTCTGTGTGGTCATGTGTATCTCTGTGTTTTGACAAGAAATTGCAAAACAGCTTTATTGATTAATGTAGCCTGGTTGAAAATGCTTTATTTAACACAAAACTTCAAAGGGTGATGAAAAAGTAGGGTCATTGATCCAGCCCTGCCTCACCACACTGGCATAAGGGTAAGGGTCCAGCAAGTGCAGAGTGAGGACAAACTTGAACTACCAGCCTGCTCCCATCCTCCCAAGGCCCCTGTAGCACTGTGGACTAGGGGACCAGGATCAGCACTTTGGTGCCTGCCAGCCTCAGCCCCACAGCCAGGGTAGGCCCAAATCTGCCTCATCAGGCCCAAACTGAAGGCAGTGCTGACCCCCAGGGCTCAGGCTGAGAACTATCTAGTTTTCCTCCATTGGAAATAATTGTCTGTAAAGTAGTAACTCCCATGACTATGCCAACTCCTATGCCTGGACTTCTAGCTACTACGGTGATGCTGAGAAAAATTAGGGCATCACTTCTCAGTGATCCTCCTGTCACCTGCCCCAAAAGGATGCTTAGACACCCTTGCCCATGGGCAAGACAGGAAGTAGGCCAGCCTGTTACCCCTGCTGGATGCAACTGGTGCCAGCCCTTCTCTGGATGGAGGAGGGGCTGCTGCCCCACACTCTGGAATCCTTTGGTTCAGGTTCTGACACTCCTGTCCCCTAATGGGAATGCCACCTTCCTCTTCTTCACCTCATTCTTGTAAGCTGTGGTTGAGACAGCTGCTCCAGGAGGCCTTCTCTGACCACCCCAAAACCCCTCTGTCTAAGCACTGATCCCATTGGGCTATTTGTGTCTCTCCAGTAGATTCCATGCAGCTCACGGGTAGTTAGTGACTGCCGGGCTCTGATCCAGTAGAAATGAAGGATGTTTTTTAAATGAAGAAGCAACTGAAACAAAGGAAAGAGCCCAGGACCCCTAAACAGCAGAAAGGGATCAAACTGTCTTTTAAAACCACACCCCTCCAGAGGGACCACAAGAAGGGCCAGGGAAGGAAAGCTACAAGAAAGCTTTGTATTTTTTGCAGCTGCATCAGATTTCCTCAAAACGTCTCCACTGCTTAAAAACGTAGTAAGAAAACTACTAGCCTGGCCCAACCTTCTCACTTGATAACTAAGGCAAGGGGGGGACTCACCTAAGTGCACAATTGAGGCAGGTCGGCAGGCCCCAACTCCCCCTACCCCACCTGTTTCCTGCCCAACACAGTGACTTCCTTCCACAAGGATTCAAAGAGAACAAACCTTCCACAGGAGTTCCATTGCTCATTTTATTTCAAGAGCCAACTGTCCCCAGAGAAGGCACTGCTGACATCATAAGTAATTCAGGACATCCTTCCATTCTCTGAGAAGTGCATCAGTGCTTATGAAAAGCCTATTTTTCTAAGTTGATAATTGTTATAAAACCATCAAATAGTCAAACTCTAATAGATTTCTTTTTTTAAACCAGAAATAATGCCTAAAACTGCTCAAATTTTATGGAGGGGAATCAAGCCACTCTAGGGGTCAGGATGCTACTAGTAAACCCCATAGAGGAGGGGCAAGGGAGAGTGGCCAGGCAGACAGCTAGAGCCAGGACAGCAAGGAAAGACGCTGCAGAACCTGCTGTCAGCACCTTTGGTCCTGGCTGCTCACATGGGCCACCCCGGCAGGCTGGAAGCTTGAAGTCTGTGGCGCCCCCAGCACAATGCCACCCCCAACTGGGGACCAGGCAAAGGCAGCAGAAGGCCGCGTCAGATGATGCAGAGCAGGGCCTGCAGAAATCAAAGACTGCCTCTGGAGGTCAGTATGATAAACAGCAACACACCCACGTTAAATTCATTCCTAAACACGAGCCCCTCCTCTCCCCCGGTAACCACCTAAGATCTCAGGATTTAGAGAACCTGAGAAATCAGCCTCCTTACAATTCACCCTCCTTCCTCCTGTCTTGAAATGGAAATTAGTTGCAATCTTATATCTATCAGTAACCTTTCTCCTTGTACATCTCTCAAAGCAGATAAGAAAATCATTGCTGTCCCCCCAAGCCCCCACTCTGCTGGTTCCCAAGGGCCAGGCTTAGCCGGACTGCTCCTGAGAAGATGGCTGGTTGGGCTCACAGGGCACCTCTGCATCCTGGTTGTCTGTGAAGGGCAAAGAAAATGATTTAGGTTTACAAACTAGAGTTATGTTATGTGCCGTCGAGTCGAACCCAACTCATAGTGACCCCTTCCCTGGGTTTCCGAGGCAGTATCACTATGGAAGTAGATTGCCCCATCTTCCTTCCGAGGAGTGGCTGATGGGTTTGAACCGCCAGCCTTCTGGTTAGCAATCAAGTACCTATTTTCAGAAGCAAATTTTCTGTAAGGCATTCTTATTCTCGGACCCTTCAGAGAATTTATTTGCTTTTAATTTGCTAGGTAGGGGTCGGTCATAAGACTGGAATTCTCATGCTGGCCACATGATGGAGACACTCAAGTTCAAAGTCCAGCCCTGCTCCCCCTAAGCTGGGCAGCATTAAGAAGCTCCTCCTCCTCTCTGAACCTCAGTTCCCTCTGTGCGAAATGAAATGAGGTCTACCTTGCAAAGTCAGCATGGGGATTAAATGAAACAAATGACTGCTAACTTCACTAATGGCTTCATCACTGCAGGTTCTGTTCTTTAATCCTCAGAAAACCCCATAGGGGAGGGATCATTATTTGTTCCAGATTTGCAGATGTTCAAATTGAGGCACCAAAGAGTGAATTAACTTGCCCAAAGTCACACCCATGCCTCCTGGCTTAAGGGCCAGCATGCTTCAGGCCATGCCCTATTGCCTCTCCACTACCCATTCTAGGTACTGCACCTATGGCAAGTGTGTAACAGGCGGACTCATTCTACCTGAATAACTAGGATCAGAGGCTGCTGCCCAGTCCAGCTGATGAGGCCCGAGACCTTTTCTTCCTTCCTCCTTGAGCAACCAAATCTAGATGGGCAGGGCCTGGAGTTTACTTGGCCACTAGTGTAACTAATACAGAGTTGATTCTGACTCACAGCAACCCCATGTGTGTCAAAGTAGAGCTGTGCTCCATAAGGTTATCATTGGCTGATTTTTTACAAGTAGATTGCCAGGACTTCCCTCCTAGGCACCTCTGGTGAACTTGAATCTCCAACCTTCTGTTTAGTAGCCAAGCATGTTAACTGTTTGCACCACCCATTATGACCACTAACTAGTGTGGGACTTGGAAATTCATTCATTTCCCTGAGCCTCAGTTTCCGCTTCAGTAAGGTAGAGGAGGCGTCACCAGACTCACTTAGCTCTTAAAATTGTTCTATCGTTTTCAAGATATTTACAAAAGCAGAGAGGGCCATAATTATCTCAGGCAGGTGGCTGTTCCTGGTGTACTCATATAATTTAACTTCCTCTTCACCAGAGATGGCCATCTAGTCTCTAGTCCCTTACACAGGTCTGACAGTTCAAATCTAAGAATGAGTATCTACCTACTTTATCTAGTTGGTTGTTCTGTTTTTCACTTGTAGCTATAGCTCCTAACTCATAACTCACTGCCATTAAATCAGTTCAGACCCACAGCTATAGCTCCCCCAGCCCACAGGAGCCAGGATGCCTCCAGTGGCACATTTGTAGTTTTGCACCAGCACTGACTGCCCTGCCTCTCTGCTCCTCAAAGTCCAGCCCACTCCCAACACCATATCCAGAACTCTCCACCTGGCAGCTACTTGGCAGGAAAAAAAACTCGACCACATGTGCGGCGCTCCCATTTTTGCTACCTCTCTGGGAATGATTGATGTTTTTGGTTCTCCAGCATGGCCATGGCTGTTAGCACACGTGTCTGGGAAAGGGGTCTCACTGCCCACAGCACCGCATGCCAATTGCTGTCTCCAAGCTCTGTGCTTATTATACAACCCGGGGGCATACCTGAGGGTATCCCAGCTGCACCCTAGTTAGAGCAGAGGCCAGCACACAGGCTCCAGAAACAACATAGTGGAGGATGCTGGCTATAAGGAGAACTACCCAGGCTCTGGTAGTATAGTGCCTAAGGCACTTGACTGCTAACCAGGAGACTGGCGGTTCAAACCCACCAGCCACTCCTCAGAAGGAAGGTTGGGCAATCCTACTTCCGTAGTGATAACTGCCTCGGAAACCCAAGGAGGGGTCGCTAGGAGTTGGGGGCCAACTCTATGGCAAATAACAACAACAACAACAACAACAACCCAGGGGTGGTGACAAGAGCTCCAAATTGGGAGTTAGATTTGTGGCTTTATCTCTGGCGGCCACACCTGTAAAATGGGAACAGTATCACCATATCATCTGCTCCTCAGGGTGGGACTAGGTAAGATCTAATGTTCTCTCTCCACTGGGCCCCAGATAATACAGAGGATGTAAAGGAGTTTCTTTGAAAGATGCACACTTAGGTCTACCACCTAAGAGAGGCAGAATGGTGTTATGGTTAGGATTGTGGGCCCTAGAGTCCAGGCTTCTCTACTTACTAGCTGTGTGATCTTGAGAAAGTTACTTCTTATCTCTGTTCTTTTTCTGTAAAATGTGGATAATAATAGCACTTACCTTATTGGGCTGTCTGGGGATGAAATGGAAAGCATGTAGCACAGTCCCCCGCACAAATTAAGTAGCCAACAGATGTTGCAATGATTATCACTACTATTTTTCCAATTGGCTCTTTTGGCTTCCTAAGCCCCATGATTCAGTGTTCCGCTAACCCTGGCACGAAAGGAATCATGGAAGCCGGCCTTGAACCCCACTGTGTTCTGCCCGAAAGTCAGGTGCTGTGTGCTGGGAAGCACTGCCTCCTAGGCCAGGACCCCTTCTCTAGTCATGTCACCCACCTGTTGGGATGGGGGTCCTGGCTGCTGATGAGTGGGATGTAGCTTTACAATCTGGAACCACCTCATCAGTCTGGGGGGTCTGAACCTCTAGAGTCTCTGAGGCCCACTCTCATCACGACCTGCTGTCACTGAGGGAAAGGTCCCCTGCAGGTTCATCTGGAGCTCTCAGTTCCATCAGTGCTGGCAGATGCATTCTAACTAAAACCAAATTCTCTCTTAAAAGTCTGGTCGTGGATTTAAATTAGCTTTCCTCCAGGTGTCCTAACACTGAAATCAGCCTTGATGAGCAGCCAGCAGGCTTGTCTCTGATGATAGCTTTTTTGTACTTCAACTCTCTGGGCTACAATGTACTATTATTTACTGGAGATGGCTAAGCAGGTGGTGGCCTGTCTGGTCACTGTGCCTCCCACCAGCACCTTAGGATCTTCTGCTCCAAGTGTGATTCAGCAAAGCTGTGCAACTGGTGCTGTGGTTCTGAGCAGCAGGTAGATTCCAGCCCTGCCCATCTCAGCTGAGCCACTCACTGAGGACGAGGAAAAGGCCTCAGGTCCCATCAGCTGGACTGGGCAGCAGCCACATCCTAGTTTTACAGAAAAGGACCTTCTGGATCTCTTCAAGTTTGCCAGCCCTTCCCAAATTGTAGAAGCCACAGAGAAGGACTGGAAGGAAAAAACTCTATAGAGCTTTTAAAGCTCCAAGAGCCCTCAAAACAACACCCACAGCATTTTCACACCAAAATCTCAGTTGATCCTCACAGTAACCCTATGATGGAGCGCACTTTATAAGCAAGAAGACTAAGGCCAAGGGGGCATGAGGGCCCAAGGTTGTCCAGTGCACCAGAGGCAGAGCTGCGAAGGACAGGGCCTTCAGCCCCTGGTCTGGTAGAGCTCTCTCCAGAGTGGTCTGGGACAGAAAAACATCCCCACCAGCCCCAACTGCTGTTTCCTCATGAAGAGAGGCCTTGTCCTAATCAGAGAGGCCTGGTCTTTGAGCACACCATAACCACGCCATCCTCCACACTTCTGCCCCTGAGCACTGCTAAAGGTGAGGGAATTAACACTGGCCGTGGAGCCAGACAGAGAACTCTGTTCAAATCCCAGCTTTTCCATTTATATCTACAAGAATCTCTTAGGACCTTGGTTTTCTCACCTGACAATGGGAACCCACTTCTCTCAGATGCAAGCATCTGTTCTCCATCTCCCCCCTCTCCACACATACTTCAGATTAGACCCCTCCTCCAAGGAGTCTTCTTGGCTCTCCCAAGAGCTGTCTGGAAGATTGGTGCCCACTTACCAGTGATTTCTTTGTCTGTATCACTCAGGACAGCCAATGAGAAAGATGGTAGTGGTGGCAGTGGTGGTGGGAGGAAGTGGAACGCAGAGAGGAAGCTTGGTGGTAGGAATGGGGGCCGTGGCAATGTGGTAGAAGGGTAGTAGATTGGGTGGAATTTTCTCACTGGTTCCGATACCTGCATGGCACATATAGCAGAGAAACCAGAGAGGGCAGATGGTCAAAATGACTCCTGTTCCCTAGGATGGGGGGAGACTCATCCCCACAGGTAGATTTGCTTCTATGGCATGAAACACCCAGATCCAGGGCACCTTGGAACAGGGTGTTCAGCAAACACCTGACAAATGACTGAAGGTGAGACTCAATACAGGCAAACCTCAGAAAAGCTGAGGACAAATGAATAGTAACACAGACTGAGCCCTTCTGTGTGTGCCTGGCACCCATTATGTTTAGATCCATTGCCTCATTCGATCCTTACACCTTGCAAGGTAAGGTCTATTACTGTCCTCACTATACTGGTGAAAAACAAGTTCAAAGTCACAGCTGATAAGTGGTGATAAGACCTGTATCCCAGGTCTGATTCTACAGCCCATACAGCTGATAACAGCAAGGTACTGCTCTGTGCTGGGGAAGAGTCTGAATGGCTTCTCAACATGTCCCATTTTCTGACACATGTAACAACTGTAATAAATGAGTGTGCAAGGAGCTTTTTTGGGGCCCTGTTCTAAGGTAGGGGAAGAAGTCAGCAACCTGAGTCTAGTCAGCTGTTACTGAGGAGAGGAAAGCTGGGTGACTTTAGGAAAACAGCTTCACCAATCAACTCTTCTGTGTTTCTGATCATTCGATGCTAAAAAGATGCTAATCCCATACCCTAAGGCTGAAATAAGAGGATTTGCAGGGATGTTGGCTACACAACTCAGAGCTTAAGTGAGAAAGACAAGAATACGAAAAAAAAAAAGGTAAATACTAGATGTAGCAAGTTGTGCTCTGGGAAAAAATATTCTTAGTCAAGTAAGTTCTCCACACTGGAATTACATATGAGCATAAAGGCTCTGGGCCTGCTGCAAAAGTATTCTTATATTAACTCAGCATTTCCTAACTTTATTCGAGCACAAGGAAGGGAAGAAAGCCCACTTTTAAGTACCTGCTATATGTCAGATCCTATGCTAGGCACTTTACATGTATTACCCCCTATTTAATCTACTCCACAGCCCTATGGGATAGGTACTCTTACCTCATTTTACAAATTAAGAGCCTGAGTGAAGTCCTAAGAGGCTGGGTAGCCTCCGCTAGTCATCTGGCTAGTAATTGATGGAGGGAGGCTTGGATCCTAGGTCTGTCCCACTCCAGACTGCACTCTTTTGTGAAGAGAATAGAGAAGCAAAGAGGCAGCAGGTGGGGTAAGAGAAGTAGGAATGAGGAAGATGTCTCTGGAGAGTATCTCAAAACCTGGGCCGCAATAGCACAAGGATAAAAGTCATTCATAGACTCTTGGGTTTGAAACAGTCTGACAAATGCCCGATCCTCTGTCCAGACAGGAAGTGGGTGGGAAGGGGGATTGTCAGCACTTTAATTTCAAGCTGCTCAGCCAAGTCTCTTCCTGGATCACAGCTCCGGCCCAGATAAACCGATTGAGATCACACTCCTAACAAAGGCCGTCTGGCGGGCCATCAATCAGAGCCCAGACCTGGACGCCAGGCTCCAGGCTTCTGTGTGAGCAGACAGTGTGGACTCCGCTTGGCCAGCCCCTCTCTTTGTGTGGAGGCTGGAGACAACTTACTTTCCCTGGAGTGCAATGGGGTGGCCAGGCAGAAAAGCAGCACCCACACATTTCAGGCAGGGCAGGGGTGAGTGAGAATCAAGGGCCATTATTTGCTAAATCTCTACATAAGACATACTTGGGGCAGCAGAAGGTGCCTGGGCCTGGAGTTAGGGCAGATGAAGTGCACATCCTGGTCGTCACCAGCCAGCTGTGTAATTCTAACCTCAGACCATCACTCACCAATTCTGTGACACTAGACAAATCATTTAATTTTTCTGAGCTTATTTGCTCAACTCTAGAGCAGGGTAATGATAAACTACCTTGAAAGCTCACGTAAGGGTCAGTAGGCATCCTGGAAATTATCAAGACCAATGGTTTCCCATTTTTCACCTTGAATCAATGGCAAATGACTTAAATAAAACAATATCTAAAACAGGTAGAAGCAGCACTGCTAGGGCTGAGGCAGGATTAGGGACCCAGGCCCTGTATGCCTGGCCTACATGGGCACAGCAGGAACCCCAGAAGACTGGCTCCCCACTCTGCAGCTAATGACTCCTGACATTATGTAAATGCCAGCTTTCATCTTCTAATTACTTTCCATATTAAACCAAAGAAGCCTGCTTGCTCCTTACTCCTCTTCACCCTCCATCCAGGGAAACATGTCTGAAGATACCCAGGGTTGGCTCTTCACTCTGAGGGAGTAAATGTCAAGGTAATCCCTATTTCCATGAACTGGTGCTGCCTTTCAGCCAACCTATACAACAAATACAGCCATAGGGGGACAAAAGTCAGGATAGGTCACTGGGCCTCATTGTCCTGAAGCCCCACATCCCTTGGGGTTTGCTGAGAGGGCTTTTAACCATCCTGGTCTAGGAAGGCACCTAAGGTCATAAAACCTAGTCACCCTTATCTTGTACCCTAAACAGCCAAAAAAAGAAACAAACAAACAAACAAACACTGCCATCAAGTGGATTCCAACTCAGCAACCCCCACTGGGTTTCCAAGGCTATAAATCTTTACAGAAGTAGATCGCCTCATCTCCCTCCCAAGGAGCAGCTGGTGGGTTTGAACTGCTGACCTTCTGGTTAGCAGCCAAATGCCTTACCCATTACACCACCAAAGCTCTTTACCCCACACAACAGGGGTGGCCTAATGTTAACTTATTCCAGGTTTAAACAGCATACTAGTTAGTAACTGATGATTAATCTTACAGAAAAATTAAATTCCACTCAATTTTTCAACAAACATTTCCTAAGGTGACAGGTGTTCTGGGAAATTTTTCTGTACTTTTCATGACTAAGTCAAGCTCAGGAGCTCTAGTAGCGTATCGCCTAAGGTACTTGAACTGCTAACCAGAAGGCTGGTGGTTCAAACCCACCAGCCACTCCTTGAAAGGAAGGTTGGGCAATCTACTTCTGTAGTGATACCGCCTCGGAAACCCAAGGGGGGTGACTATGAGTCGGGTCTGACTCGACAGCACCTAACAACAACAAGGTCAAGCTCTGGTAGCGTAGTACCTAAGACATTTGACAGCTACCCAAAAGGCTGGAGGTTCAAAGCCACCAGCCATTCTTCAGAAGGAAGGTTGGGCAATCTACTTCCATAGAGTTACCGCCTCGGAAACCCAAGGAAGGGTCCCTATGAGTCAGATCCAACTCCATGGCAGTGGTTGCGTTTGGTTTTAAGGTCAAACACTATCTACTCCTGAAAGCCCCCTGCAGTTTCAAATGGGCCATAACTATGAACAGGGAACCTGGGTCTGGTTCTGGCTCTACCTTAAACTGTGTAGCCCTGGGAGGGTGACATCCTATCTTCCTTCTCCAGCAGAATAAAGGTCCCTTCTAGCATCAGTAGGTCCTGGGGTAGCACAAGCAGTTTGTATTAGGCTGCTAAATTCCAGGTTGATGGTTTAAACTCACCCAGTGGCTCCATGGAAAGAAGATCTGGTGATCTACATCCATAAAGATTTAAAAAAAAAAAAACAAACTCACTGCCATTGGGTCGGATCCATCTCATAGCAACCCCTCCTTGGTTTTCCAAGGTGATATTCTCTACAGAAGTAGATAGTCCAATCTTCCTTCCAAGGAGTGGCTGGTGGATTTGAACCACCAGCCTTCTGGTTAGCAGTCAAATGCCTTAGGCATCACCCACCAGCGCACCCTCCATAAAGATTACACCCAAGAAAACCTTATGGAGCTCAGTTCTACTATGTAACACATAGTCTTCTGTCTTCATTCTGTCTTCACCAGAATAGGGTCTGGTTTTCTATCATCATCAGTACCTGATGAGTTAAAGCTGTGTCACTTCTACCAGGGCAGAAGGCCCGGCTGAGAGCGGGCACAACATTTATGAATTGGCTTCCTGGGACTGAGGGTCAGTAAAAGCAGCTGAAATTAAAGAGAAACCTGGAAAGGAGGCAGGGATGGGACTCACCAATCCTCCGCCATTGTAGGAGTTGCCAGAGGTATGCCAGAAGCCTTGCTGCAGAGGTATCCTTTGGGTTAAGGGCACATCCTGGTAGCTCAGTGGAAGTGGGCGGTATACCGGCATGCTCAAGGAGCAGGGGTACGGGTTGGAAGGCTCTCTCTCCAGGTGCTCAGACCCCACCACACCATCTGAGTTCATGTTCTGAGGGAGCCCTGAAGAAGGCAAACAAGGAGGGAAGTGTGTGAAACAGAGGTCTGGGGAATTTTAGAGTATCACTAAAATAAACACGCATATCAATTTACAAAGAACCCCACCACCATTATACCTCTGACCACTACTGCCTTTTCTTTTAAATTGATGTATTTTCATTTCTTTATTATGGTAAATATTTATGTAACAAAACACTTGTTATTTCAATATTCTTCACACATATAGTTCAGTGACATTAACTTATACTCATGATGTTGTTCAACCATCACCCTTACCTAATCCCAAAAATGTCCATCCCCTCACTGCTTTTTAAACCCTTCAACTACATCTCACTACTCTTAGAAAAGTCTTCAGTATGGCCCACAAAGCCTCATGTGATCTGGTTCCTGCCTCCACTTCAGCTTCACCATAGACCATAGCCTAGCTATTTATTGTTTCTAACCCATTCTCCCCTAATCTCACTTGCCTCCTTAAGTCCTACTCAGCTCCTATGCTACCTTCAGATCACAGTTAAATCATCAATTTTTACATCTTTGAACATTGATTTGTGTGTGTTTCTTATTAACACCGTCTCTCCCACTAGGACAAACTCACTGAGTGCAGGGAATGTGGCTTTACCCCCCCACACACACACACACCTCTCTCTTCATCACTAGTATCTAGTACACAGTAAATGCTCTGTCCCCTTCTATTAAGAGACTCAACACAGAAAGGTACCCTGTGACCTTGGAAAGGCATCCTTCTCTCAGGATTGCTATTTCAGGTTGGTATTCTTCATCAGACAGCTGTTTCCTCAGGACCTAGATTTTTCTAGAATGTCCCAGAAGGCAGAAATAGCCTTGCAGAGCATCTCAGCCAGCCCTCTCAGCATGCAGTAGGGAGAGAATGATACAGAGGGAAGGAGTTTGCCTAAGTTTACAGGGTGAGCAGCCTGCCACCCAGACTCTGGACTCCCACCCGTGCTCTTTTTATCACATTGCTATAGGTATTTTCCTACCAAGAAAATACATCTGTACCCAAAAAGTCATTTTTAAAAACCCTCAGATCTGTGAATTGAATTCAATTAATTAATTTAATTAATTAATGTGAATTGAAATTATACTTTAATACTAGAGCAGCAAGACCTAGGGAACAAAGTAATTTATGGACAAGGTGGGAGGGAAGAAAAGCAAAGCAGTAACATCTCAACAAATCAACTACTCCCTTCCGTGTAGGAAGAGGGCGCACCAGCGAAACAGCTTCATTCCCGCCAAATCCAGTAAAAGGGCGGGAAAGGGTGCACACGGGCACTGGGACAGGGCGCTACCGAGGGGAGGGACCCTGGGAGGAGCCTCCAGTTCAAAGGAGAGCAATGCCCTCAGGCAGTTATATTTGAGCCAGCCCACCTGCAGCCAAATCTTAGGGGAGGAGCCCAGAATGAAGAAACCAGAGGGAAGGAGGGCGCAGGCGCATTAGGCCACTCTGCCGCTGAGGGGCGGCCCCTCCAGCCTAGAGAAAGCAAGGGAAGGGAAGGGTGCGCAGATGCAGTCCTAACTGAGCTGCGCCCCCAACAGGGGAGCTCTAGGGGAGGACCATCGAGCCTAAGGGCGGGAAGGCCTGCGCAAACTCAGGAGTCCCAGAGGAGGAGGCGGCAACGGCAACCCGGCGTGGCGGCCATTTTTTCTTACAAAATGGAAATGTGAAAACTGTAACTAAATGTTGAACTTCCTCTGGACCACCTATTCCTTTCTACTGCTATACTTCCATTTTTGCGAAAAGTCATTTAAACCCAAATCCCTGTTCTGAGAAGGGCTTCTCAAATCAAGGTTACCTCTGGAAACGTTTTCCCCACTCGGAACTTTTGAAAGGCCTAACGGCCCATCCCTGCAGGAAGGGCTTAGGCAGCCAGCTCCGGTAGCTGGAAGGCTATACCCCTGAGAGGAACTGCTGGTGAGGCCAAGAGCGCGTGAGACCTAGGAATCTTACCGAAGTCAGTGGGTGGCGGGCTGGATACGGGCTGCTGAGGCCTGTGCAGCTCCGGGCAGTTGGGGCATCCCCGGCCTGCAGCCTCAGCCTCAAGTTGGCGCCCCATGGAACTGGACATCGCAGCGGCGGCTCCTTCACTCGATTCCACGTGGCTGCGGCTGCTCACGACTAGTTGGAAGGCGCTTGGGCCCGGACTGGGGCCTTGCGGTGGTCTCTCAGGAAAGCTGGAGGTCACACGGGCGTGGGGTATGGACTCTGAGTCACCGGAAGCGGCCAGCAGCAGCGGGCGGAGGCTTGAGCCCTGGCCACCAGCTACAGCGCCAGTAGCTAGCTCAGGCCTCTGAGCGCCCTGGGCCACCTCCTGCTCCTCCTCGGACGCCTGCCTCTTGAGCACTTTCTGCGCAGCCATTATCTTCTGGCGCTCGCTGATCAAGTAGCACTTTTCGCAGGTGCATTCCTTCCAGCGGCACTTGCCCGCGTGGCCCTTGACTGGCACCAGGAAGCCGTGGTTTCGGCACCGAGAGCACTTGGGGGTGCGCAGCATCTTCTCGACCAGCTTGGTTGGGTCTGCTTTCATAGCACAACCACCACCTCCGGAGCCGCAGAGCAAATGGAGTTTGGATGAGCAGCGCCCCACAAGTCCTTGGTGCTGGGGATTTTGGATACAATTGTAACAAAGCGGCTTTCGGTACGTCCCCGGAACTGCAGCAACACCCTTGCATTTTCCCTCCTTTTTTTGGGGTGCAAAATTTGGACAGTCCCTGAATTTCTGTTCCTTAGATAATTAAGTGCAAAGGATTGGGTTGAATAAATTCTTCACAGAATGCTATTGCATGTATGTTTTCTAGGTGGGCTGAAGTCTTAGGCATTTAATTTTACAAACTTTTAATCCCCGCCTCCCCATACATAGAAGGTATTTTGTAACTTCAAAAAAGGCGGAGTGATGTTCAACGGTCCACAGATTTAAAGCTCCAGAGGAATGTAGCTCTCAGTAAATCCATTCCAGGAGAAAAGAGTTTTAACAGGCAAACCGTGTATCTCCTCCCAAAAGCTGTCGCTTTTGCTGAATTTCATTTCTCTTCCCTGCAGGGAAGCAGCCATTCACAGTGATGCGTCCAGAATATTCTCAAGAGCTCAGTGCAGCGTGATGGTAGCTGAAGGCTGTGTGCCCTTACCGTAATTCCTGTTTCTTAAGATTGTTGCTAATACAGGGATGCATTTCTGAAATGCAATAATAAAAGTAATACTCTTATTCATGCCTTCCAGAGTAAAGCATATTTGCCCCTCGCCACCCAGTCAATCTTGACTCATAGTGATCGTATAGGACAGAGTTGTTGTTGTTATTTGCGGTCGAGTCGCCCCTACTCATAGAGACCCCTCCTTGGGTTTCCGAGGCAGTATCACTACGGAAGTAGGATTGACCAACCTTCCTTCCGAGGAGTGGCTGGTGGGTTTGAACTGCCAGCCTTCTGGTTAGCAGTCAAGTGCCTTAGACACTATGCTACCAGAGCTCCCTGCCCTATTAGGTTTCCAAGGTTGTAAATCATTAGGGAAGCAGATTGCCACATCTTTCTCCCGCCAAGCAGGTGAGGGGTTCAAACTCGCAACCTTTCATTGGCAGCTGAGTGCTCTAACCACTGCATCACTATGGCACCTTTAATGCATTTCTAGAATGCTTTAAAAGAAAATTGAGTATTCTAGCACTAGCTAGAATCATTGCTTAACTTTGCCTTGAATTCAGTTATCTTTGTAAACCAGCCAAAATCAAGACACCTTAAAAGCTGGCACAACTTTAATAGTTTACCCAAGACTACTGAATTAATTCAGTTGTTGTTTGATAGAAATTTGTGACATTCTGAGGTCTTTTTCTTTTTTAAAACAGCCACCAACATCTAAATTGAAAAGCTATAATCATAGGATGAGTCATGTTGTTGTTGTTAGGTGCCCTAGAGTGAGTTCCAACTCATAGCTACCCTGTGTACAACAGAAGGAAACTTTGCTGGATCCTGGGTCACCCTCACAATCCTTGCTATGCATAGCCCATGGTGTCATTCTGTCTTGCTGAGAATCTTCCCCTTTACTTTACCAAGCATGGTCTCCTTCTCTAGGATGAGTCAAATAGTTACTTAAGCGGGTAGTTACGGTTAGTAGGATGAATGAAAAGTGTAGAATGTAGAGTTTTTAATTGCTCTTTTCTTTGAAATTCCCTTTCTGGTCGTAGAATGATCAAAAATGATTTTCTTAGCCTCTGCTCTGGTGGTACAGTGGTTAAAGCATTTGGCTGCTAACCAAAAGGTGGGTGGTTTGCATCCATCAGCCGTTCAGCAGGATGGAAGGAAGGTGAGGCAGTCTGTTCTATAAAGATTTGTTGTCATTTGCCATCGAGTCAGATCTGACTCATAGCGACCCCTCCCTGGGTTTCTGAGGCAGTATCACTATGGAAGTAGGTTGCCTTACAGCCTTGGAAACCCTATGGGGCAGTTCTACTCTGTCCTAAAGGGTCACTGTGAGTTGGAATCAACGATGGCAGTGGACAGTGGGTTTTGTTTTTGTTTTTTTGGATTGCAGCTGCACTTTTCACTGGCTACCTGGGAATGGGAAGTGGTTACCATATATCCTGCAAGAGGCTCAGTAGAGACTGGAAAACTGAACGGAAGTTTGCAAAGTCTTTTTTTTTTCCCCCCTTAAAAAAAAAAATATGCTGCTTCTTAAGAAGAGAACAAAAGTATCTGGATATGCTTCCTGCATTGGATGGCTTTTCAGGAATTTCACTAATAACTTTATATCTATTTAAAAAAGGTTCTAGGTTTGTCTCTGCTTTGGTTTAACATCCTCTCCCATTTTTTTACTGGAAATTATCTAGATCTCTATATAGAGATAGGGATTAATATATAGTCTTTCCCCCACATATAAAAGGCAGGCAAGCTCTTTTTCAGACTTCACTCTATTCAAAATGTCTAATTTTCACATGGATCATGTCATTTGGGAGTGGTCCTACAAATCAGTTTCAACATTGCTGTCAAAAATCTGGGGCAGAAGCTACACTGTTCTAGGTATTGCAAAGTCTAAGGTCATTTTCTGCAATATCAAATTTAAATTTGAACATCAGGTGACATTGAATGATAATGCCTAAAAAATAAAAAACTTCATTTACATGTCATGCTTGACCACCCAAGCTCTCTTCATTTTCTCATTCATGATTTAAAGGAAAATCCTACTCAAAGCAGAGTATTTGAATTAACATATTTTAGCCTTGTTAACTACAAAATGCTTCCATATTTACTTCATAGCTTGAGGGACAAAATGTACCCAAGGTGATGTAAATTTGCATAGTGGTTTGGGAGCATTAATAAACAACCATACGTCTTTTTTAATCAGTAGACACATTATAAGATGCAGAAACCCCAGGGTTTACACAATAAACAAATCTAAGAAGGAAAAAAAAAGCAGAATACTTTGTTTCTCTCATCCCCCCCCCCACCGCCCCCAAAGTCTCAATTTATGTAGGTAAATTCCAACAGAGTTTTATTTATTTCACTCTTGGAATTCAGGCAAATTGGTAGTTTTGTTTTATTTGGGTTGATGACTGATTGCTTTTTAAGTTGCTGCTTTTAAAAGAAATGTCTGTGTGTCTATGTTTAAATTGTTTAAAAAGATGGCAACATGATGTAACGATGTATAAGTAGAAAACTGGAAGTCTGAAAGTATGGAAGCATTAAGTATCCAGACCCCTTCCTTCCCTACACTTAAACCTTAGGACATTTATATTTGAGGAAGTCTATATTATATGTAATAGTTGATAAAAGTACAAATTACATTTGCTGAGTAATCACTGGTTTGACTAATTAACCCCAAAGAAACTGGATAGTGATCATATCTACCTCCCAACTTCAGATATGGCCCCCTTTTTTCTGCCTTATGTATAATTCCTCTTCTCTTCAGTTAATATGATTGCCATGGGTACTGTTGAATTCATATTCATTTTAAAGAGGCACGTATTATGCAGTGCATAGGGATATCGTTTATAATCATTAAATATTGCATGTGTTATAATGTTTCCTTGTGGGTAGCACACAAGAGTAAGGAAGGACTTTTTTGCCTATAGCATCTTTCCCCCAGCAGCTGTAACCCAGATATCAGCTGCCTTCCCCTTCTTCAGGCTCTCTCTAGTGAGCAATGAAAACGTTATTGAAGATTTTGTGGGAGATGGAAGAGAGAATTTAGATGACACATCCTATAGTAAAGGCTTGGAAATCCTGCCTAAGCATTTCTATTCTCTCTAGCTCCTCCTGTGTTGTTGCACACCCACTGGAGATAAACCGGTCTGTCCTTCCCACCCACACAGTAACCAGATCCACTGGCTCCTCTTTCCTCTCGTGATTTTCATCAGTTCTTTGAGTGTAAAGTCTGTGGCTACCTTATTTTCCTTTATGCCGAACAACAATAGACATTCAGTAAATACTTGTTGAATGTGTGAATTGATCCTGTTTCCCTTTCCTGCCAGTGTCAAAATTATCTTCTCTGTAATGTATACAGTAAGTCAGATTAGCTTCAGCAACTTTCTCCAAACATCATACAAGTGCTCTGCAAAACAGAGGGCTCATAGTGAACAGGGCCACTCTCCTGATAAAGCAGGATTTGGGGATCAACTTTGGTTCCTTGAACTCACTCCATACCCCTAGTAGTTTAATAATAGTAATTATAATAGCTATCATCTACTATTTTGAACATCTAC